TGCAGTGAGCCGAGATTGCGCCATTGCACTCCAGCCTGGGTAACAGAGTGAGAGTCTGTCTCAAACAAACAAACAAAGAATCCCAAAGGGAATATATATGGCCCAAGAGGGACTAAGAACCACTGGTTGAGATAATTGTACCACTTTATACTCTGTTTCTCATGGTTTAACTCAAGAAGCATGCTATTATCTGAAAAACATACATAATTGGTCAGTCTTTAATGTTATAAAATAGTGGCATATGACTTTCACTCTACCATAAAGACTAATAATCAATAATGTTACCATGTGGTACTGTATCCTTCCTACGAATATACTTAAATATATTTAGCCTTTTCCTAAAATAGATGCCAGGGCCCTTGGGGCTGTCTGATCCATCAGCACCAGGCTATGGGCAGTAAGGAATGTTCAGAATGTATTTTCTACAGCTTCTATTTCTTTTGCTTTGCCAATTAACCTCATCTGTGGTGGTAAGCAAGTAACAAGACATACCTCATCTCTCTTGTTCAGCCTCACTCACAGGTGCTGTGTCATGTGGCCTGATGGTAAAGGGCTTGGGATCAGATCCTGTACTCCTCTGGGCTCCCAAGGAAAGTCTCTTCACCTTACCCCATCTGTGGGATGAGGCCAGTGATAATATCTACCTGTGGCAGTCACTACTGGTTATCTCCCAATATCCATTTTCCCCTTCTTCCTTAGTAAAGGAACAACGTCTTAGTCGAGCATACTGCGAGTTAGAGAACAGACCGTGTTTCCCAGCTTCCCTTGCAGCCATATGACTAAGTTCCGGTCAATGAGACAAAAGGAGAAATCCTATATAGTACAGGGTATGTGGTCTAGAAATATGGTATAAAAGTTTCTATGGTATAAGTTTCTGGAACCCTCCCTTCCTCCCTCCCTCCCTTCCTTCCTCTGGAACCCTTCCCTCCCTTCCTCCCTTCTTTCCTTCCTTCCTTCCTTCCCTCCCTTCCTCTGGAACCCTTCTCTCTCTCTTTCTCTCTCTCTCTTTCTGACAGAGTCTCGTTCTGTTGCCTCCCAGGT